TTCCTCCCTCCTTGCTGCGAGGATGCAGCCCTCCTGCCTGGCTGCGCGGGACCGGGGCTGCCCTGGGTCGGCTGCATCCCTGAGATCTTGCTGCTGGGATGCCTGCAGCATCTCCCGCACGGGTGCCAACAGGAATGGTGCCTGGGGTCTGCAAAGAGACCGGGGGGTCTGCGAAGAGACCGGGGGCTCTTCCCTGGGGTGCTTGGTGGGCGCTGTAGAGCAGCGTGGAGGTGATGCCTCATGACTTAAGGCTCCACGTGGTTTTGGTTTGTTATTATGGTAACCTGCTTGTGCTTCTCAGGCTTATTGATAGGGTTTAAATCAGTTGGCAGACATCTCATCTGAGGCAGGGTATCCGCTACACACCTGAAATCCTAATTATGTCCTTTTTTTTTTTTGCAAAGAGCCTTGTGGCAAATTGGTAGTAACTTATTTCCAACTGGAGCAGAAGGTTTGTCAGCTGCAGCTGGAGCCTCTGCCCTGGCTGGTTTGGCTGATGCCCAGGTGATGGGTATTGGAGGTTATTGGCATTTTAGGGAGGTGAAGGTGATGTGAGGAATTTGTACAACAAGGAGGTGGGCAAGAATGGCTCCCAGGTGCTTCCCCTGCCTTGGATGGTGGCCGAGTGCTGGGGCTGTGCTCCTTGCCCACCACCCAGGACCCTGCAAAGCTGGCACTGAAACCTGGGCTCCTGCTCCAAGCGTGGCCTCGCGGGCTATATTTAAAGCACATTAAAATCCATAGGGCAGGGTTATGCCAAGACTTTATTGCCCCTGGGAGAGTGAAGTCACACTTTGCTCCCTCTTTCTCAGCTGTTCCTCCCCAAGTGTTTCAAAGGGGGGTTCCCGCTTGCTGTGGTAAAGCAGAAAGACGGGGAGTGAGCACAAACCCTCTTAAAAAGTCATGTCGTATGTAGTTCTCCTGGGTTTGGAGGAAGCAATTAAGCCAATTAATTTATTGGTAAATTATCTTATGATGAAGTACAAAATAACTGCAATGAAACGCTGACATTCACATTAATACCAAATTAGTTACTGTATTATGACTGTTCTTACAATGAATGCCCAGTAATTTAATAGTAATGGGACATTTAAATAATTTAGCCGATAATTCTCTAGATCACTTACATATATAAATGAGCATGACAGCTTCTTTTCTCAACTTTGCTGGTGCTGCTGGATTACCTCCCACCACCACACCAGGAGGCAAAGCAGCCTGGTGCCCTTCTCCGCTGTCTCCCAAAACTCACTTCTTGCTGGAAACTAGGGATAGGGTGTAGCAAAGGGGATTTTCCTCCCTTATTGGATTTTGGGATTGCTGTGCCAGGAGGCTGCAGCTGGAAAGCAGAGCGCAATTGCCGTGCAGCTGGGCTTTGCAAAGCCACAATCCTCCTTTTTTTTTTTTGTTTTTTTTTCTTCTGTGGTGAAAGATCTCTGGGTAGAGATCTGGGTTGCAGACCTGGTAGAGCATCTCTAGCAGCGTTCCTTGGGAGAGCACTATTAGTCTCGCAGCGGGATGGGCGATGGAGATCCAGCCAGGGCCACTTAATTGAATAGTTCAGCCGTTGACAGTGAAATTACTGTGTGTTGGCTCTGCTTGATGTAACGGCTTCATTTTCAAGTAGCTGCACTTTCTGTGATAATAATTATAAATAGCATTAAAACTGCTCCTCATTCTTCCCTCCCCATCCCCCCGAGAGGACTCTCCAAAGGAGAGCGAGGGCTTGGCAGCTACGCAGGGCAGAGTTTGTCTGCTTTACTGCTGCTTCATCACCCCTGCACCCACGGAGCTGCTTGTAGATACACCGGCTGTGGCCTCAGGTCCCCACGGAGGAAAGGAGGAGAAAAAAAAAAAAAAAAAAAGAAATGCAGTTTACACCGAAGACAGCCACCATTGCAAGTTACACCTGGAGGTTGAGTTGCCCCAGTGCTTTTTTTCCCAGTAAACTGGTGAATACTGGAGGAAAAACCACCGGCTTCTGCCCTGCCAAGCACACCTGGGAAGGCGAGAGGTTCATGCCTCCTTTCTGCATGGGGTCAGAGTCGTGCCCTGGAGATGGATGTTGCCAGTCAGCGTGTTACTTCGCTATTAAGATTGCATTGAACCTGCTGAAATATTAGTTAATGGGCTTGCTTACGTCCAACCTAAATGCGGTCTTTTCATCACATCACGTTCTGCTGTCAAACCTGTTGTGGAGAGGAGTATTCCACTGTCTGCAAGATTGAGGACAGAATTATCCAAATTAGTTTTCTTGCAGATGAGAGCAGCAATGAGGTTTTTAACACAAACCCTGCCACTTCTTTGGAGAGTCTGGCTCCTCTCACCGAGGATGAAGTTGAAGAGCACCTTTTTTAATTTGGATGGGCCGCCAAATTTGTGAAGCCAGCAGCCCGCTGCAAGCAAGCGTCTGCAAAGAAAGAATAAAGGAAGGAAAGCCAAAGTTTGTAGCTGCTCTGTCGCAAGCGATTAAATCCAGGGGCTGGCAGCTCATACTCGCGGGGTCCCTTGTGTGGGTCATGGCGAGGCTTTAGCAGCCAGATTACTGCTGGGATGGCTGGGGGAAGGACTTGCCTAGACCAGAAACGTCCTGAGGTTTTGCACAGAGGAGATCTAGCAAGCATTTCCTCTCCTGTCATTTGGATCCCCTCGGCAGGGCTGGAGATGCAGCCTCAAGGTTGGAAGGCTGAAATTCAGGGACAGCTGAAAATAGCCAAAGAGGACCTCAAAAAGCCGGAGCTGGGGCTGTGATAGCATGGCAGCCTATTCTTCCCTCGGGGAGGAAATTCACTTTATTAACCAGAGCCATCCCGTTCCCTCTGCTGTGCTCAATGATATGATTACTGGAATTGTTTTCTGTGCAGTTAGTTGCCTGTAGGAATCTTTCTGGGCTTTTGTTCAGACTTTGCTGTTTCCAGGAGCATCTTTTTCCAGTGGGTTTCTCTTAGGAATAGGAGAGGCTCAATACCAGCAAGCTTTGTTAGAGAAGCTTCTCAAGCAGGTTTTTGGGTGGGCTTTTGTCTTTCTGCAGGGTTTCTGTCCTAAAGCATGTTGTGTACTGACCATCTGGGTAAAAGCACATTTTCTACAAGTCACTTGCCACCATATTTTTGAAGAAGTAACTCTGCTCTAGTAGAGGAAGCCAGAAGAGTAAGGCATTGGGGTGGTACAAAAGATGCAGAAATGTTTAAAACGTGATCGTTCCCTCTTACGTAGAAGACATATCGGTAAGATCTTCGTGAGCAGTGCTATACTCGGAGTGAATTGTAACCGGCAGAGCATGTGTGATGTGCTGTCCTCAGCCTGCCCGCCCCCAAAGGCAGGTTGGCCTGGCCTGGGCTGGAGGAAACCTGACCAGCTTCCTACAGCAATGCAGCCCTCCTGGTACCTCCCAGCCTGTCTGTAGCGATGGTGTAGAGAGGTCCTTTGACTCCCTGGGGATGGTGTGCCTTGTGTCTCCAGTTAAATAGGTATTGTGAGTTACTCATTGTCAAGTCAACATAGGTATGCTGCAGTTAGAGGTGAAAACAGGTCTTTGTGGCTCTTATTTGTAGAAGACCCCAGGGAATGAGATCCTGTACTTGACATAAAGGCAGCACTGGCTCCATCGTTGTCATGTAGGATGTCCCAAAGCTTTAGGGTGTTCTAACCACTGTTTATAAATACCTCGCCCCCCAAATTGCTGATTTGTGAGCAAACAAGATTGATTGCCTATCAACTGAAATGCTATCAAATGCTATCATGGACCACTTGGTGCATCGTGTTTCTGAGAAGGTTTGGTTCCCTGCACTTGCTGTTTGTGATGTTTGGATATTGGGCCTAATGGGCTCTATTGAGTAGGAGACACTACATCAAAGCACAAGACCGGGAAATCTCTGCCTCCAAGTGTCTGAGGTCCTTCTGTGCAGAAGACATTCCTGGCACGGAGCTTCATGTTTTGCTGCTCAAGCACGTAGAAATAGCCACCGTGATCCCACAGGCTACATCTGTACACGGTTTCATGTGTGGGCTCTGAATGTGACGGAGCAGACTTTCACCAGTGGGCTACTTAAACAGAGCTTGCAGGACTGGATTTAGAAGAAGTTGAAGCAGGTCTAGGTGGATTGGGTTTAACACAGCATGAAACAACCTTTTAGAAAGCTCAACAGGCCTATTCCAGAATGCCATTACAGCTGCTGTTCTGCTACATACGTTTTTTTTTAAGCAACAGGTATATTGCTATTTGTGCAAACAAGGTAATTGGGCATTGTTTTCTATTGCAAAATAGATTCTCGGGACATCCACCAAAATGAACACCACCTGACCGCTTTGCTTTTGTTCTGCTTATTAATGCTTTCTGCTAACATCCACATATATGAATTTGTCCATGATGAGGCATCAGAAGGTGAAACAGTGCTGGTCCTCGTGCGGCTATGTAAATATTCAGCTTGTGGTAGATTGCATTAAGTGTCTTATAATCCATCCCAATTAAAAAGCAGTCTTTATAGCTGTAATAGTTTTATTGAGAACTGTAACACATTAGACCTACAGATATATAAAGCAGTTAGTTTTATAAAGCATATAGGATATTAAAGTAATGAAAGACATTAATGTGACATCAATTTTTAAGGAGAGTTACTTGCTGAAATAAATGAGTATAGCCTAAAAGTTGATGGCATGTTACAGTCCTGAGTAATGAACCTCTCTGCCCCCTAAAACCTCGTAGAATAAATAACGCTTGAGCAAGTCAGTGGTCATTAACTCTTTATCCTCTGAGAGCTACATGTCACATTGATGTCTCATCTGATTTTTTTAAACTTTTTAAAATTCATTCAGAAAGGAATTCTCTTTCCTGGAATAGCTATAACTTGGGGTGCATTATTCTGAAGTTATTTCCTAGCATCTCCCCCTTTCAGTGAAGTAGAGCTGGGACTGGTATTGCCAGACGCGAAATTATTGAGGAAGCTAGTTTTTCCCTTTTCCTTTATTTCCTTCTTTTGTTTTTCCTTTTCCTGCTTTCTCACTGTCTGCCAGTGCTCTGAGTCGTGCTTTACCCAGTGGTGTCTTGGTATACCAAACCTGGAGAATCAAAAAGCATGTGTATGTTTTAGTAAAACCTAAAACACCACCACCCCACACCCCCCCAGCCCCCAGTTAAGAAACTTTTGACTAGTACGATGGAGCATTCCTTTTAAAAAAAAAAAAAAAATCTTAAAATCCTGGCTGGCTTGTGGAGAAGCAGAAATGAAATCCTTGGCTCTCTTGAGAACTTTACTATAACAAGAAGTATGGCAATTGCTTGCTTGAAGTGTGCCTCATTAACAGGAATGCTTAGCTGTGCCATTTGTGTTGCTATAGTTATGGAAATGTTAGAACTTCTATGATCAACCCTATTTCTGAGGTATATAGCTCTTGTCAAAACTCCCTCTGGTCTGAAACTTGGCAATAGACAATGCATACACTTCTCATGGCTCTGCAAATCAATCCAGACAGTTTTTATTTCAATGAGAGAGCTTAAGAAGCAAAACAAACCCCGAACATTAAAAACCTGTTTATTGCTTTCAGATGCCTGTTCACAGTCCTGTGACTTGTAAATGATTTTGCTATAGTTGCTCTGCAAACTTGCCAAGCTCCTGGACTGTAATGTCAACAAGGCAGTTCCAGGCCATGTGAAAATAATGTAAAACGAAGGAGAGGGTAGTGCTTTAAAGTTAGTAGTGTGTAGGAATCGGTCTTTCCCCATATGTATGTAGAGGCACCTTTATCAACAAAGTCCTGCCTACACCAGAGATTAAAATGCCACTAGGTGTTGACATGGTTGATAAAATGCCTTCCCTCTTGACCGTATTCACCCATGCACTGCCCTAGGAACAAATATCTTTCCTCTGACCACAGACTGCTATTTCATGCCATGACTGTGTCTCCTCTGCCCTTCACTTGGGTAGTCTTCAACCTTCCTACCAATGCGGCATCCTGTAAAGTCTGCCTTTTCCATATGATTCATCCAAAATGCTGCTGCCAGCTTGAGCCTGGTAAGGCCACCCCTAGGAATTTGCTTTGTCTGGTTTCCCAGTATGTGTTACAGGCAGCAAGAGAAGTAGCTGGGAGAAGAGGTATTGGAAGCATATAGGGAAGAAAAACCCTTGATGTTCCTCTCCCGGCCCCAGATAGTCCTTCTTGGTGGTGTCATGCTTCTTAAAGGCTTCCTCTGGGTCCCAGAAAGGGGCTGATGACAGGCACCCTATTAGGATCTCTTGTCTTGAAGATTAAATACTGTCAGCAGGTACCTGAAGTCTGAGTGCTGTCAAATGTCCAGGTGGCTGCTGAGCAGCCCTAAGGCTGTGATCTCTGCTCTAATTGCCCGAATTAGCTGAGCACCCCTCCTCCAAGAACCCTGACTCCATTGATTAAAACATCATGCAACCTCTCTTGCATCCACATCTAGACGGTGTCACGGGAGGTGTTTGGGAGGAACCCCTGGGCTCTCAGTGCATTTGAATTTTGCTGTCCTAAAGACGGTCTTGGGCCAAGCTATTCCTGTGTCAGGGAGAATATGGGGCTGGGAGAACGTGGGGCAGGGAGAGGCCTGGAGATGGCTGTTTATGGTCCTTCACATGAGTGGAATAAGAAAGACAAGATGGTGGTTGTGACTATTGGCTTGGGGAGGAATTGACTTCCCCAGCAGCAGCTATGCAATCAAGCAATCTCTCTGGCCTTCCATGTGTGATAGGCCATGAGGCCACAGAAATTGTATTTCCCGTGCCAGGTTTGTTGTCCTGGGTATGACGTTCTCCAGACCTTAAGCGGGAGATGGAAAGAATAACGCACCCCTGCCAACAGCTTGCTGGGAGCTTGGTAGGATGGAAAGGGCCGTCTGCTGGGTGCAGACTGGGGAGGTCATCTCGCTGCCTGCTCGGAGTCGCTGATAAAGGACTCTGCTGCATGTGGCAAGAGGAGCTGAGTGACTCGTGATGTCTTCTCTTGTTCCTTTCCCATTTCTTTGTGCGTATAGTTCACTGCAGTAAATCTACCTGCCTGTTGACACGTGATGATGGCTGCTTTTGACTCTTTAGCTAGTGGAACTGCTATGCGAGATTAATAAGCCACCTCCTCAGATACGGTTAAAATAAAAGTAGATTTATCACTAATGCACTAGCATTTGAACTGGGGATGCAAGTTATTGACAGTGAGATTGACAGTGAGTGAGTGATCAGAGTGAAAATGTTTGCTTGTTGGAGGAATGATGTCCGCAGTCTTTGGTACGGGACTTCTTACATATTATAAGTATTTCGTATCAGTCGCTGCCAGGCAGAACTAGTGTGCCAGTTGGACTGCCCTTTGCTCCTCTAGGACTACCGATATTTCTGTGTAAGGATTTGTATCAATCACGCTGGTGCAATAACTTATAATTTCAAAAATATGGATGTATAATTGGGACAGAAATTTGAGTAAATTGAATGAAGAAATCACATTATCACAAATTTTGCATTATTTATATTCATTTTGAAACACTGGCAGAATATAAATGTCAAACAGGGAGATTCATGTTTCCAGCGAATAGAAGTCAAAGATTCATCACAGCGCTAATCTTCACTTTGAAAACTGCGTTTTAGCCGCCCCGCTTCAAAAAGGACAAAGCAAAGCAACAGAAAAGGTCCAGTGATGGCAATGGTTACAGGCTCAGGAAGAGGGGCTTCTGTGCGAGAAGAGATGAAGATACCGGAGTTAATTAATGCACGAGGCCATTTTGACAATCCTCTTCCCCTGTGCCATATTACAGGTGCTGGGGCAAGGTTCCATGACATTTAAGGGAAACAAATTTAAAACCGATAAAAGGAAATACTTTCTTAAGGGCTGTAATTAATGCAAGGAAATTATTGCCATGGGATGCTGAGGACAGTATCATTTTAGCTGTGTTCAAAATGAAGTGCTGCCTGCACACTTTGTGCTGTACAAAACAGGCACATTTATAGTAAGTGGAATAATATTTTCAAGTTAAACTCGCACTAAATACTAGCTCTCGTGTTTCAGGGTACAAATGGATTACTACTTGGAGCTGGGAACGATAGGGTTTTTTTCTTTGCTGCAACACTGAACCATTAGCCTTTCCCTGAGGAAAGATATTGGTTTAGATAGGAAGCATGAGGAAAAAAGAGTAATTTGCCAAATATCACAAATGCTGTCTATGTTGAGTGAGCCAAATGGCTCTAAATGGAAATTGGAAAGTATTCAACAGCACTGGGAGAAATATGCACTATCATTAGGTTAGCAGTGGAAGACGACTTGGACAAAGTTGTTAGAAACTGCATCCTGTTTATTGTGCGAGGCACTGTGGGGATTCAAAACCAGAGGGGATTCAAAGAGCAGAATGAAGAGGAAAGCTTTTAGCCAGGAGAACTTGATGGTTTATAAGTGGGTCTGGGTAGAAACTGGGGGGGTATGGAGCTGAGAAAGCTCTTTCGGGGTCTCTTGGCTTCAGTACAGAAGTCCTATCCCATTTGGAGCCCCTGGTGTGGGCTGCCTGCAGCTCCTTGGTACGCAGCAGTTTTCCTCTTCAGTGGCCAAGGCTTTTAATAGCGTTTAGGAAGCTTGAAGTGCCTTAGTCAAACACTGTGCCATTTTTCTGGGGTGTCGGTGCTGCTAAGCTGTAGTGTTGCACTCAACTAGCTCGTTCAAGTCCAGTTCAGCCGTCCCTAAGCTATGCTGAAGTCGCTACAGTAAATAAATTGTAGACCTGTACTTAAGCCTGATAAACTGTTCCCATCAATAGGAAAACCAAAAGCAATACAGTGAAAGCAGAATTAACCACTACATAAAGA